AATACATGTATAGTTAAACTCCGGCTGATTTTTTTTACTGTCATAAATCAATACTGCTGCATATAAATTGAGTTTGATTTTCAATTATTCTTAATTATTGATCAAAGGTTAAGGAAATATACTATGAACTATTTTTATTTGATTGATAATCAAACAAATTCCTCACTCCACTGTCCCACACACACACTAACACAACTTAACAAAAAATATTAGGAACCAGTAATTTTACAAAACTTTGGACGTAATGTACCCCTTCTCATATATTTATTTTTGCCTAAATCTTTAAACAATTTGTGTCTTTCCCCGGTTGGTTTTTACATCAATCCTCTTTTTCATTAATCGTTATTTTTATCTTATGTCGGTATATTAAAAAAAATATTTATTTAATCCAAGAAGAGGTTGAAGGATTGTAGATTGTATATTTATATTACGTATGTGTTGGTGTTGAATTTTTCAAATTCAAACCGTCTTAAAGAAGAGTCTACCTGTCGCCGTAATGTTGCGTAACTAACTTCCAGTGAAATCCGGCGAGTGTTCTTCTGTATAATACAGCAGTGACTCCTATTGTCTTCTTTACCCGCTACCGTACACACTCGGATCGCCTCAGGTGATTTCTTTTACACACAGGTGCTTCACAGAGTTTCCGATTGTATGTTGAATGATTATGTAATTCGGCTGGATATCAGCTAAACGACTTGAATAATTTTGGACGAATAAAAAGCACAGTGTTACTGTAAAATCATGATATTTGTTTCAATACCGAACAAAGCTATGAAACGTCGATTTATTAAGTTAATTAAATTTATTAATTTTTTGTACCTAAACAGATGAAAAGGAGTACAAACTGAAACACGGCAGAATTAATTGTGTGTTCTACTTTAATAAAATAAATAAGTACATGTTCATCGTTCTTCATTTAGTTCGCACGTGCCCCCCCCCCCCCATTTTATTTTGAAAAGACAAAAAGAAACTAGATCCATGTAAAATAAGACTTTCAGGTGGGGATCCAGAAAATCCAGATTTGAAAATCAGCTAAAAGATGTACATTATTTCAAAAGAATAATGCGGACAGTAACTAAATCAATGAATGTCAAAGGATTAATGATCAATGCAGGCCCGTAGCCCCCTCCCCCTTCCCCATGAATAAAATAAAAGATTTTTTAAATCCCCCGTCTGTCTTTTAGTTTTGGCTTCTTCTTGCAAATGCTTGGATTCGGGTATGTTTGACTGCACAAAAAGAAATATGGACGGCCTCCACATAATTACAAGTTTTACATAATATGAACACTATAAGAAACGCCTTTCCTCAAAAGGGGGCACTCACGGCCTCACCTCGCGCTATGAATTAAAATTATTCAAACCAATTTGAATATAAATTAAATTAAAATTGAATAAAACTCATCTAACCTAACAGTTTAATTCTTTAAATTGAAATTAAAAGAAAGTCAGGGAGTCAATGTTAATTAAGAAGATATTATAAATACATGCCATGTAATAACATTGTTTTATTATAAAAATGAAAAGACCTCTGTAGAATTTCATATCTCACTACTAAAGGAAGATTATTTTTTCTTTTAATTGCTTATCTTTTTGAAGGTTTTGATTTATCCCTTCTCTTGAAAATAATTTTTACAAATCAATTTTCTATAAATAGATAGAAGTTTTTTTTTTCAAAGATATCATCTGGAAATAGTTAAAAATTATATGAAAAAAAAACAAATAAATGAAATAATAATCTATGTTAAAATAAAAAAAAATCAATTTCACACCACTGCAGCCTCTCCGAGAGCGAGAACAATAGGGACAGTAATTATCAGTAAATGTCAGCACTTGTCTAAGTTTTTCAGCAGGGACAGTAAACGGGTCAGTAATTGTCTAAGTTTATCAGCACCGACTAAGATTGTCAGCACTTTTCTAAGTTTATCAGTAACGGCAGTAAAAAAGGTCAGTAATTGTCTAAGTTTTACAGTAACGACAGCACATTGTCAGTAATTTTCTAAGTTTGTCAGTAAAAAATGGGAATGTCGGTACGTTTTTGACTTAGTAGTGACTGTAATGAAGATTTTATGAGTTTGTACAAGCTAGACCTAATAAATTTTTAATTTCACATGCTGAATACTATCATTTAGTGAAAAAAAAGTTTTTGGAAAAAAAAGGAATTGGAACGTTTGGGTATCGAACCCAGAACCTCTCACATATAAAGCGAGGGACATACCACTACACCACGGAACCGCCGAAAATTGATGAAAATTATATCCAAAGATGAAGACACATACACCGATATTGTCAAAATTTTACACAATGCATGGTGTCTAATTTAATCCTTATTAAACAATTCTAATAGATGTAATACGAATATAACGTCCGCCGAGAACCTGTTTTATAAGTTATAACACACCTCATGCCCCTATGCTAAAAATAGCGACATGCAATACAATAAATACTAATAGAACAAACTAAGCGGTACGCTTTGAGAGAGTCGAGAAAGGTCCTAGGGAGTTTTGGTATAAAATTACATTGCACAAGCTCAAAATCCTCTTGAAATATCGCCCGGAAAGGATAGAGTTACACACAGACAGAATGTATAAATTTACAACTTTTTGACCTTTCGACTTCAAAATCAATAGGGGCCTTCCTTAGGCCACAGGGAGTTGATATGTAAAATTTCATTGCAAACACTCAAAGGGTTCTCGAGGAATTGCGCGAAAACGAAAGTGTAATAACAGAGAGAATTTGCGAATTTATGACCGTGACCTTTGACCTTTTGATCTGGAAATCAATAGGATTCTTGTTTTGTCCATAGGAAGTTGCTATGTAAAATTTTATTGCGAAAGATCAAAGGGTTTTCGAGATATCGTGTGCAAACGAAAGCGTTACAGACAGACAGAATGATAGACGGACGGACAGACCCAAATTAATATCCCCCACTTTTTAAGCGGGGGACTATCAAACATTTGTAGAATACTTCTTGTTGTGTTTTCTTTTGCGTTTCAGTATATATTGGGGAATTCTTAAGAAAGGTCTTGCCACAAGTATTACATATGTGATGTATGAAAGATCTTTCCCGAACCGTTCAAAGGTTATGGCCATGGTTAAAGTTTATATTAAGAAGAAGATCAAACTCCAAGGTCAAGATCAAAGAGTCAATTTGAAACTTCTTTGTATCCAATGAAAGGTTTTGCCGCAAGTATTACATATGTGAAGTATGAAAGCCCTTGCCCAAACCGTTCAAAAATTATGGCCAATGTTAAAGTGTTCAAACAGTAGGTCAAACTGTAAGGTCACCGTCAAAGGTTCAAAGTTGTTGGTATTCAATGAAAGGTCTCCACACAAAGATAACATATGTGAAGTATAAAGCCTTACCATTCAAAAGTTAAGGCCAAGATTAAAGTTTTTCATAAGTACGGAAATTTCCAAGGTCAAAAGGTCAAAGTTGTCGGTATTCAATGAAAGGTCTTTCCACAAAGAATACACATACTGTATGAAGTATAAAAGGAAGGAAAAGGGGAAAAACACAAGTCTATAAAAATAATTTTAAAACGGTCTTTGAAAAGATGAAATTTAAAACTTTAAAAGTGTGGTACCAGGTGGATTCGAACCCACGACTTTAAAAAGAAAGTTCCCACGGTGTAAAAGAAATTTACAAATTTGAGGCAGATCATCAAAATAAGTATTCCTTATTGTAGGCTTTTTTTCAATTTCAACCCTAAGGCAGGGCTGCCCTTAGAAATCCTATCTTAAATTATTCCTCATATCCAAACCTATCAAAATATCAAAATTTTATTTAGGGGCAAGCCTGCTCTGAAGGACTTCTAGGCCAAAATTATTGCAAAAATCAACGATTTAAGGGTCATCCACACACCCACAGCATATCTTCTTATATTATTGAGCATTACTTTTAACAGGTATATCAACCTTTAAAAACTGTCCAGGGATTAAAGTGTAATTTATACTGATTTTTTAAAAAAAATAATTATTTCACAAGTTTCAAGAAATTTTTCCCAAGGCGTTTTCATACCTAGCCTAACAAATTTTGTATTACCCTTTCGTATATTTGTAAGCTAACAGAATAACCATAAAAACTTAACTTTATCGATCAACGTATTTTTTACAGAAATTTATTTTATTCATAAAAAGAACATTAAACTCATTTTCTCTAAAATGCATCTCGAGAAAAATCAATAAAGACTCTTTTTGTAGAGAAGAGACATTAATGAATTAGATTACATAAAAAAATTGACTTAACTGATCATCCTGTAACTTAATAAATAATAGTAAAAACAAATTGATAACAAGATGTGTTTGTGAAACTCTGATCACCCCATATGACAAAATAGCAAAAGTTATTTTTCTTAAAATAAATCAAAAATGTCGGTACCCAATGTAAGACCTTCTGATAAAAAAAAACACAGTTGTGAAATATGTAAGACGTAGCAACATCTGTTCAGAAATGTATGGGAAAGATTAAATGTTTTTTAAAGGTAGGTCAAATTCTGAGGTTAATGTCATCATTGTTGGGTTCGAAAAAAGATCTTGCCACAAGGATAACATATGTAAAATATGAAAACCCTAGTTCTTTCCGTTCAAAAGTTATGGCCAAGTTTAAAGTTTTTTTTAAAAGTATATCAATCTCCAAGATTAAAAGGTCAAAGTTGTTGGTATACAATTAAGGTCTTGCCTCAAGGAATACATATGTGAAGTATGAAAGTCTTTGAACCAAACGTTCAGAAGTTAAAACAAAAGAAAAAGTTTGGAAGTTTTGTGTAAAAGTGTGTCTATGTCCAAGGTCAAGGTCAAAAAGTCAAATTTGGCAGTACCCACAGAAAGGTCTTGTCACAAAAATACACCTTTTAAATAGGAAAGCCATAGTCCCACCCAGTCAAAAGTTTTGGGCAAAGTTAAAGTTTTTGCGGAAAAACAGACAAACAGATAGCGGAAGGACAGGGCAAAAATTATATCCCCGAATCTTCGATTACAGGGGCATATTAACAAAATATTACTTGCTATTAAACTGCCTCCGCTTGTATGAATCACGTCGACAAATTTTGCATCCGTTTTATCTAATCTTGCTGGTGCTCCTGCATTTTCAAAAAATTCTCCTGCAGGATCCAAACCTACAATGGAAAGATTTATAAACTCCACGTTTGTTCAATTACAATGTATTTGATACTGTCTTTATCTATTACCTCTGTTTTTATGCCCCCGTAAACGAAGTTTCGGGGGCATATAGTTTTTGTCCTGTCTGTCTGTCTCTCTGTCTCTCTGTTTGTCAGTTTGTCTGCAAAAACTTTAACCTTGTCCGTAACTTTTGATTTAGTGGAGCTGTGACTTTTATATTTCACATGTTTATTCCTTGTGACAAGACCTTTCTTTAGGTACCACCAAATTTGACCTTTTGACCTTGACCTTGGAGTCTGACCCACTTAAACACAAAAATTTTGAACTTTTACTTTGGCCATATCTTTTGAACAATAGATACCAGGAAATTTATATTTCACATATGTATTGACTGTGGAAAGACCTTTCATTCGATACCAACATCCTTGACCTTTTGACCTTGACCTTGGAAATTTCTGTATCTATGAAAAAACTTTAACCTTGGCTATAACTTTTGAACAATAAGTACTATGGCTTTCATACTTCACATATATAATCCTGATAAAAAGATCTTTCATTGGATACCAAGAACCTTGACCCTTTGACCTTGACCTTGGAGTTTGACCTACTTTAAACATTGACCATAATTTTTGAAGGGTTCGGGCTAGGACATTCATACTTCACAAGTTTATTCCTTGTGGCAAGACCTTTTATTTGATATCAAAAATTTTGACCCTTTGACCTTGACCTTGGAGTTTTACTTACTTTTTACAAACAATAACCTTGACCATAACTTTTGAACAGTAGGGGCTAGATCTTTCATATTTCACATGTGTAATCCTTGTGACAAGACCTTTCATTGCATATCAAGAATCTTGACCCTTTGACCTTGGCGTTGGAGTTTGACCTACTTTTTACAAACTTTAACCTTGACCATAACTTTTGAACAGTAGGGGCTAGAGCTTTCATATTTCACATGTGTAACCCTTGTGACAAGACCTTTCATTGGATATCAAGAATATTGACCTTTTGACCTTGACCTTAGAATTTGACCTACTTTTTTTCAAACTTTAACCTTGGTCATAACTTTTGAACGATAAGGGCCAGCGCTTTCATACTTCCCATACGTTATCTTTGAGACAAAGCCTTTCTTTAGAACCCAACAACCTTGACCCTTTGACCTTGAAACGGAGTTTGTCCTATATTATAAAATGTTAACCTTGGTCATAACCCTGGAACAGGTGTAGCTAGCATTTTATATTTCGCATTTCTTGCGAAAAGGCCTTACTTTGGTACCAACATATTTGATCTGCATTTGAGAAAGCTTAACCTTCGCTATGTTGCCATACGGGGGTATCAGTGTTTCACAAACACATCTTGTTTTTTTAATTATTATATTTTTGGTTACGTGTTATTAACCAACTGCTATCTGCATATACTAATTAAAATTAAATAAACTAAAATTGCCTGGTCATATCTGGTATCTTTGTCCTTTTTAGCTCACCTGACCTGAAAGCTCAAGTGAGCTTTACTGATCACATTTTGTCCGGCGTCCGTCTGTCTGTCTGTCCGTCTGTCTGTAAACTTTTCACATTTTCGACTTCTTCTCAAGAACCGCTGGGCCAATTTCAACCAAACTTGCCACAAAGTATCCTTGGGTAAAGGGGATTCAGGTTTCTTCAAATGAAGGGCCACGCCCTCATTCAAGGGGAGATAATTGGGAATTAATGAAAATTTGGTGGCATATCTAAAAAATCTTCTCAAGAACCACTGTGCCAGGAAAGATGAAACTTATGGGGTAACATCCTCAGGTAGTGTAGATTCAAATTTGTTAAAATCATGACCCCCGGGGGTAGGGCGGGGCCAAAATGGCCAACCAAAGTTTTACATAGAAATATATAGGAAAATTCTTTAAAAAATCTTCTTCTCAAGAATGACAAAGCTATAATTCATCATATTTATATGGAAGCATGCTCAGGCAGTGTGGATTCAAGTTTGTTCTAATCATGACCCCCGGGGGTAGGGCGGGGCCAAAATGGCCAACCAGAGTTTTACATAAAAATATGTAGGAAAATTTTTTAAAAATCTTCTTCTCAAGAATGACAAAGCCATAATTCATCATATTTATATGGAAGCATGTTCAGGTAATTTAGATTCAAGTTTGTTCAAATCATGACCCCCCGGGGTAGGGCGGGACCAAAATGGCCGACCAAAGTTTTACATAGAAATATATAGGAAAATTCTTTAAAAATCTTTTTCTCAAGAATGACATAGCCATAATTCATCATATTTATATGGAAGCATGCTCAGGCAGTGTGGATTCAAGTTTGTTCAAATCATGACCCCCTGGGGTACATAATGTAGGGCGGGGCCAAAATGGCCGACCAAAGTTTTACATTGAAATATATAGGAAAATTCTTTAAAAATATTCTTCTCAAGAATGACAAAGCCATAATTCATCATATTTATATGGAAGCATGCTCAGGCAGTGTACATTCAAGTTTGTTCAAATCATGACCCTCGGGGTAGGGCGGGGCCAAAATGGCCGACCAAAGTTTTACATAGAAATATATAGGAAAATTCTTTAAAAATCCTTTTTCTCAAGAATGACAAAGCCATAATTCATCATATTTATATGGAAGCATGCTCAGGCAGTGTACATTCAAATTTGTTCAAATCATGACCCCCGGAGGGTAGGGCGGGGCCAAAATGGCCGACCAAAGTTTTACATAGAAATATATAGGAAAATTCTTTAAAAATCTTCTTCTCAAGAATGACAAAGCCATAATTCATAAAGCATCCTCAGGTAGTGTAGATTCAAGTTTTTTCAAATCATTACCACTAGGGGTAGGGCGGGGCCAAAATGGCCGACCGAAGTTTTTAAAGATATATATAGGAAAATTCTTTAAAAATCATTTGTTATAAAATAACAAATCCGATTGGTCATGGGACTACTTTTGGATTTAATCTTTACAATATAAAGTCATTTTCTACTTTTTCCTACCCTTAGTGCTCAGGTGAGCGATGTGGCCCATGGGCCTCTTGTCCATTTTATTACTAAGTACCCAAACTTACAAATAGCATGAGGAATAGATTCAAAGTCAGTCAAGAGTAAGATTCTGTTTTTAAAAATGCATATGTTAATGGGTTATCTTAAATGGCTGAAAAGAAACTAATGAAATGTTCCAAGTAAATTAATATATCTATTTTAAACAATTCATTCATTACATTTAAAAAATATTTTTGTGATATTTTTGTTATAATTTATACAAAAAATTTCTTCTTAAATGTGGTAGGTTTGGTGCTTTTGTTTATTAATTATCATTTAACATTCGTTCGTACTGCTTGTGATTTCTTAAATCTAAAATTGACAGAAGACTTTGTTTACTTTTGAAAGGGTTTCACATCATACGAGAGGATAAGCACGTTAATTTGATTTTTTGTCATTTCTCATTAACGAAAAACAATTCATACGTATTTTAAATGAGACACCATCTTTAGTTCCTGTTATAAAAAGGTCAAGATTTAAGATCAAATGGGTTAATCATTTCATTGAAAATAACGTTAAAATAACCTCAAGTTCCTAGTTTCTGCTATACTTCGAAGCGCCTGATTGAGTATAATACCTTCATTACTCTCTCTTTCTCTCTACCTGTGATTCTATCATATCGTATATCCTTATGAGCTTTTCCTGCAAACCCAGCAACATGGGCCCCCAAACTGTGTCCAATAATATGGATATATGACATTTTGGCGCGGTGGTAATGTTCTAGTTTTCTTATTAGAAGAGTGAGAATGACTCCAACCACCTCAGTATTGACTGCAGCTAGCTCGTAATATTCAAGATAATTCGCCCCATCACTCCAGTCTACTAATATTACGTTTGCATCCATCTGTAAAAAGTATAATTATCACAAAAAGTAGTTGTTGAAAACCAAATGATGAATTATGGGAAATTTGGAGCTTAATATACATGTTTCTTGACTGTTTCAAAACTGAATCTACTTTTTGTATTTTTTTTTTTTTTTTGTAAAGCCATTTTTTGTCTTCATTAGAAAATAAAAACATATCGGGTTGCTTTTCATATGGTTATGTTTGCAATTTCCTTATTTGGCATATTTACATTAAAAACTTAAATGATTAATATTCTGTAATACAACAAACCTTAGATAGGATTGTTTGGCTCATTTGAGAAACCCAAGATTCTTTCCTACTACTGAAAAATCCGTGAACAATGATAAAAGTGTCTTTGGACATATCGAAATATCCGAAATTCGACGTACTTGAAAATTTTAGTTCTATGTCCATTATTTTTTCGGAATTAAGAAAAAATCTTGGGTTTATAACTATAGGGGGGTCAGGTAGGACGCCTTGTCTATACAAATGAAAAAGCGCACCACCAACGAAACATCCATACACGTTAAAACACTGAAGAGGAGATCCTACAAGATAAATTTAAAGTAATCATTTTACAATTGTAAACAAATATATATTCAACATCAAAATATACTTTTTAAAAATATGGAAAAAAAATCATGAGATATATATATCATATATGAACATGAATGACTTCTTAAAAATACGATATATCCTAACGAGCTTGAGATAAAAGATACCACAGAGTCTTATACATCTTTTTCATATTTAGAAATTTTACTTGAAAAAGACGTTAATGGTAATCTAACAATCAAGGTATGATAAACGTGATGACTTTAACTTTTCCATCGTCAACTTCCCTTACTTGTGCAGAAATATACCTTCATCACCTGCGTATATATATATATATATATATATATATTTGAAATTTGGAAAAAAAATCTACTGATGAGCCCGCATGGGGCGAAAGCGCTTTAGATAAAAGTTTGAGTTTATCATTTGGATTTGGATTTTATTTTATCCCTATACCAAGGAAAAATAATTTTTTGAATATATATATATATATATTTCAGTTAAATCGATACGCAAGAACATACTCTATGTATGAACAATTTCTAAATAACTAGATACTAAATAAATACTAAATAAGTTATTTGTCAATAAAACTTATTTGTCAATAAGATTGGACAAACATTCATGTTACTTTTCCTAAGCTTGGGAAATTTATTCCACAACTGATTTTAACGTGATGAAGGGATAAAATGAAATGTTGCATTCGCGAATACTTATTGCACCTACCTTTAGACATCCCTATAAAACCAACCCATTTTAAGATTTGACTCAATATCCCTATGTTAAGAGCTCCAATAGCATTTTCATTAAATCCTTCCTGTACCGTCTCAGAGAAGTAATCATAGTAATGAACGTCGTATTCCGCGTCAAAAAGTAATCTTAATAGATGTTCTACAGGAACTCTTTTGGATCGGCCTTTGAATTCAACTTGTTTTCTACCAACAAACATTTCTACAACTAGATACCCTTTACGTTTGTTAGCTTCTCGTTTTTTTTTAGAATAAAGCGTTCTATCTAAATCCCAGTCAATACCGTGTGAGGAAAAGTTAAAGTGTTTAACTAACGCTCTTGCTAATTCGTTTTCGTCAATGTTTTGAATTGAATCCTCCTTCAAATAAAATATGAATTTTCTTTGGTGTCCAGAGAAATCATTTCGATGACATGATCGAAATTTTGCCATACCAGAATCGAATTTATTTCCGAATGCATGTTCAAATACTTGCTTTATGCTCCAATAAATTTTCTCTTTGTCTTTGCTATAAAGTTTGCAAAATGGTGGTTTGCTATTTAAGTAGCAATCAGAAAAGGCCTCGTATGCACGATCGCGAATGTTCTCACAATTGAAAGATTTATTTGGCATTAAGACTGATGTCATTCTATTCTCGATGCAATTCTCAGAGGATATGATCCAATTCTTCCCGTCTATTGAAAGCGTATCAAACATTTCCAAAAAGATAGAGCAAATGGCCTCTCCATATGAAATGGCGAAAGAAAATTCACTTTTTTCGCATGAAGTATGGTTTTCAAGACAGTTTGAATACCAATGACAATTGCTTTTTAATGCCGGTTTAAAGCAGACAGGTGGTACTTTAACTTTTAATTCTCCTTCTTTTTCCATTAAATATCTTTTCCTTCTTTCGTTTTCGGCGGGATCGCATTTACAATCCTCGTGAATGTATCCACCTTTTGATTCAGGGTATATACTTTGCGCACAGGGTAACCAGCAAAACAACGATTCCTGACAAGTATTTTTTCCCGAAGTTTGTATCTTCAAGGACTGACTTGACAGACAAACTCCCCACTGGTAACCGTTATAGCTAGGTATACGTACACAGTCATAAATTCCCTCAGGTCCATGGATGGGGTCGCATGAGTCACAAAGAACCAATTTAAAAATAATAAAAAATAACACCATATTAACAATGCTGACCATCTTTTTAACTTGGAATCTGCAAGTATCCCTTACAATGTTTGGATTTAACGTACTTCCTTGTCAGATTATTATATATAGTAAGTTTAGCTGACGTATTAAATTTCAATGTTTTTAGAGAGCACTTGCTATGTAATTTGCTCTCTAGACTAATTATGGCAATCCTAGCATTTGTTGTTAACTGATTTCTTAATGTTTGTGAGTGCGTTATATCGCTAAATAACGGTCTTATAAACATAACCTTTATGCGAAAAAATGTGTTTGTGAAATACTGATGCCCCCGTATGGCAGCTTATAGCGAGGGTTGAAAATTCTCAAATGCAAGTTAAACTCAAAGGTCAAGGTCAAAAGGTCAAAATTGTTGTTACTTAAAGGGAGGTCTTATCACAATGAATATATTCAATTAAAAATATTTTATTGACTAAGAGTCAAAAGAATTAGACACAAGTTCAAAAACTTACAAATATAGACAGTCTTCACTTAGAAGGAAACACCTATGAAATATGACAGCCCTAGTATTAACGGTTCAAAAGTTATTGTGAAGGTTTTAAGTTTTTGAAAGGGGACTAAACTTAAGTCAAGGTCAAAGGTTCAAAACTTTTATACCCAATAACAGGTCTTGTCTTAATAAATGCGCAAAAAATATTGCGCCGTTACTTGCTCCTTTTTTGCATTACGGGATCTGTAGCGTTATGGTAAAAGACAAGTATATAAATTTAAACCATAACGCTACAGATCTGCAGCTATCTTTGCTTATGTGTACATTGGCTGTTACATTATTTACGTACATTTGCATGCCTCACAGACTTATTAATACATGTATCTCGCACATTAACTTTATGCCATAAGTTTCATCCATTGTGTTTTATAAACCTGAAGTCTCTGTTAAGACAGAAGCTCTACTGGTTTGTACTTAGAGCAAAGGAAGAGAAAAGTACTTAAGCAGTTGGGAATAAGAACGTTACAACAGCAACATATAGAATGATGATACTTGATTTAGTCTCTTTATTTTCTTAGAGAGTCTGCTTGCATGCCACATTATAATATAATCAGACAAAAACTGTATTTGGAGTAGCATTTTGAGTAACCAATGAAGTAATGTTCATCAAAGTCAATATTCGATATACAGAATTGTGAACCTTAGTTTAGTCTACTTGTGTGCCAAGTTATTTTGAAGTCAGACCAAAAATGTATGAGGAGTAGCGTTTTGAAAGAATTTCTCAGAAATTTCTATTTTTAGTAAGCACTGCAACACCGTTCATCGAAATCAAACACCGATACACAAAAGTATGTACCTTAGTGTCGTCTACTTGTGTAGCATATTTTGAAAGAATTTTACACAAATTTCTTTTTTAGTAACCACGGCAACACCATCGAAATCAAAAACAGATATATAAAATTCTGTACCTTCGTGTAGTCTACTTGTGTGCCAAGTTATATTGAAATCACCCAAACTCTAGGAGGAGTAGTATTTTGAAAGAGTTTCACAGAAATTTCTTTTTTTAGTAACCACGGCAACACCGTTCATCGAATTAAAAAAACGATACACAAAATTATGTATCTTAGAGTAGTCTACTTGTGTGCCAAGTAATTTTGAAATTAGACCAAAACTTTAGGAGGAGTAGCATTTTGAAAGAATTTCACAGAAATTCATATGTTTAGTAAACACGGCAACACCGTTCATCGAAATCAAAAACCACTACTCAATATTATGTATCTTAGTACATGTATATTCTACTTGTGTGCCAAGTTATATTGAAATCAGACCAAAACTGTAGGAGGGGTAGCATTTTGAAAAATTGTTTAAAGACAGACAGACGGACAGCTAGACAGACGGACGGACGCCGGACGCATTACTATTGCATAAGCTCTTCTGGTCTCTGACCAGGAGAGCTATAAACCAATTGTTCATATTACAAGTCATGGGGATAGATGTTTGATGTATCCATATTTTTAAAGTAATTCTTATTTTCCACTCTTCAGAATACCATTTTAAAGAACGAAGTTCTAAGCTCCATGAATAATTACATTTTAAAGGTCGGAGTTATTGTTACTGTCAATTTTTTTTTTATCTAATAAGCTGTTTAAGGCAAAACAAAAAATAAATATATACATGTATAAATGTACAATATTCATTATTATTCATTTTCTATAATCGCACTAAGACTGTTCTACATTCAATGCCAAGTTCAATGAGTCGTTGAAAATTCTCTCCATTCTAGGTTCCAAACACTTAAGAACATGATTTGATACTTATGCTAAAACTGTATCTTCTTATATGATCTATGATCACAAAATCAACGTGGTTTAAGCTGTGGTGAAAAAAGCTTTAAAATGTCCGATGGATGGCACGACTCATACACTGCTTGGTTAAAAAGGGGGACAGATAAGATTCGTTTCACACTTTTGTCTATTTTTTAAATAAGTATAAGTACTAGGTACAAAATATAAGAGTACAAGTATCACGTTATACTCCTGGTCTTGACAGAATTAAGTACTTCCTTGTCAGTACTTGATTATGACCCTCATGGTAAACAATTCAATGTTCAAGATTTTTCCGGGATCACTCTTTGTAGGCCATAGCCCAATTTGACGTACTGGACTTTCGGATATTAACTTTTATGGAACAATATAAGCATAACATTAAACAAAAATTAAATACTTCCGAAATTAAGGTTACATTGAAGTAAAAAAAATGAATATAAATATTTGGCAAATAAATTCATAAATGCCACTTCCAATTATTACCGTTTTTCCAGTATCAAATTTGTCAATTCCGGAAAAAAATCATAACATCACTAAATGGTTGTTGCTTTAGGAAAATAACATCTTGGCTAATGAAAACAAAGAATGGGGAAGTATTATTGAACAATGCATGCAAACAGTATGTATTTGTCTTAGAAAGTTTTCTTAGCAGAAGTTGAGTAGTCGTTTTTATGTGTACTACTTTTGATATCTGAGTTTATGCTTTCCCGGGGGCCATTTAAAAGTTAAACAATTAGTTAGGAACAACGTTAGAGCGCCTAGTGACAAGGCTCTTAACTGTTGTCAACAACACAC